CCTTGCAAATTCTTTGTCTTTTCCAGTAGTTTCATGTCTGCAGTCTTCTACTGAGCATGGACTCCTACAGATCATCTATCCCATTTAGCCTTGAACTATCATTAGTTCTTTCATTGTGTGAAGACAGGCACATGCTGGGCAACACTTGAGAACACAGTCCCAGTATTCATCATTTTACTTACAGATTTCTCATGTTTGTCTCTCTTTTTTTTTTTTTTTTTAACGTCTCCCCAAATCTTATTTGACTTGTAGTTTGCTCTGTGTGTCTCATGAAAGCTACGATGGAAGAAGTGCTAGAGCAGGAAGGGATGGTGGTACACCTAGAATGGGTAACAGCCTGAATTTGGAAGCATTAATTGTCCCAGGAAGGCAACCTGTCAGGCTGCTCTGGACTCTGTTCACCAAAATTAACCTTAGACACAGAACACCCTCAGGGTGAAGCACTCAGTCTGGGCTCCTAGATTAAACTCTGCTGGAGACTGTCTCAGTCTGTTGACTGCAGAGCTCTAAAAAACCAGCCTTTTCTGCCTTTAGTTAGCTTAAGGGAATACAGCCAAAGGGATACTGTTGCCCACAGAGGGGAGGAATTCTCCCCCAGAAGATTTTGAGACTCCTCACCTTTCCTCTTCATGTTTTCTGTCCCTTTTGAGTAAACAGACCTTACAGTCTTTCCTGTGATGATCACTGGAAAGCCATGCTTGCGTCCTCAAAATGGTTTGCTAAGAAGGAAGGTGAAATACTGTGCCTCACCTTCTCCTAAAACAACGGAATGTAATCCTTAAGCAAAGAGACTTTACCCACATCTCTGTGTCAAGCCATAGAGAAGTGGTGATAGGTCTGTATTTAATGCATGGGGCTTGGAGAAAGAGGTAAGTCAATGTCGTATCCCTGTCATCATCGTTCCCTCAAGTTCCTATACACGTTTTCTTACATGAGTAATTAACATCCCTGTGTCACCTTCCCTTTAAAACTGGACAGTGAGCCTGGTTCTTCACCTGTAGCAAAGAAAACAGGTGGGGCATGTTTCTTTTTTCTCCTAATGGCAAAACCCACAAACACCCCTTACCTTCAGCCAACAATTTAACCAATTATGCACTCTGCTATGTTGGTGCACAGTGAAAAAACATAGTGGAAACATTATGAAGTTCTTAACTCTAATTAGGAGATAAAATTCACTATTTTATTTATCACACTGTTATCTCTGTTAGTCTCATATGACATAGCTTTTGACCCATACTGGTGCTCCTGGGTTTGAAATGCAGAGTAGGGAGAAAGAGGAAAATCCATTCCAGAATGATCATTTCCCAAGAAATAATTTCCTTTTTCCTTCTGTCTACTTCATGTCCCATCACCCTCCTCACACGTGCACACTCAGAAGCATGGCACAGCTGCCCTGCAAGCTGGTGCGGAGCATGCACAGCACCTTCTCCCCCTCCCAGCATGGTCTGCTCAGCACTTCCACCCACACCTGACTCATATGGAGGAAAAAAGGCAAGCCCCCACAACTGCCTTCTTAATACTTTGAGGTTTTATTGATTTCTTTACTTTAAATCCAAAATCTTAATATGGGTTTTTTAACCCAGAGATATTGTGACTTTTGATTCAAATCTGCTTCACAGTTGTACAGCACAAAGGATTGTGCAATTTAGAGGCTCACCTAAGCATTGCCTGCCGTGGTTGGAAAGCAATAAAGTTTTGAGCTTGTACCCTTTCGTCTGAAAGTGCCTTGCAAACATTCATTAATGCAGCCCTGCAGAGGTTAGAAGCACAGTTCTCCCCTTTGTGGTTAGGAAGATTGAGGTCAGAGGGCTTTTTTGAGGTGAAAGAATAGCATCAGAAATTAAATGCGAGTGTTGCAGGCTCTGAATATTGCCCCACATGCTCTTAAAGGATGGCTGGGATCCAAATGTGCCACCCCTGTAGCACTACATCACCAGGGAGCAATAGCAGATGGGTGGGCTAATCCCTTCTGTAATTCCTAGAGTCCATTGCAGCAAAAAGGATAGCATTTGCTTCCAGCTGTTTTCTTTCCCATTATTAATATTACTGATAGTAGTAGTAGTAGAATTAGTACTATTTGCTGAGTCTCAAAATATAAATAATTGATTTGGGTAATCTCTGCTCTTGTGACACTTTAATGAAATGTCTTCGTTGGGAGCAAAAGAATCCCATTATGAGACGTTCATTCATTGCAGAGTGATAACAAGGAGAAGGATATGTGATTTGTATAATCTGGTTAAATGGCTCAGATTGCCTAGCCATAGCCTCCCGGGTATAATATTCGTTTGAATAAAAGTTGATTGAATTTTTTTTTTTTTTTTAACTAATCTTATTCTTTTGTTAGAGCCACAAGCAACCTGCTGCCTTTATTGTAACCCAACACCCTTTGCCCAACACCATAGCAGACTTCTGGAGGCTGGTGTTTGATTATAACTGCTCCTCTGTTGTGATGCTGAATGAGATGGATGCAGCACAGGTAAGTAATTTTTCATCATTTCTGTCATGTAACTGTCTTCTCAAATCCAGATGGTTTTAAGAGCATTTCTGCTGCCATTTTCTTATGCCACCCTCCTGATCCCAATAAATAAATGAAGGGGAATGGGAAAGTAACAGGTAATGTTTTGGGTTATAGTGAAGGATAAATCCACGTACTTGGCTCCTTCTCAGGCAGCTAATTCTTCCTGCGATTAGCAGGGATTACATATCTAAATATGTTGTGTTTGTGGACTTAAATCTTCCTTCCAAACCTGCTTTCTTCCCTTTCTTATTTTTGTCTTTAGTTCAGAAAAATGTTCCCTACCACAGCCCTAGTGTGCTTTGTGCTTGCCTGTTCGCATGGCATTTCCAGAAGTATATAACAAAGAGACATGCTGAAATCATTCGAAGGATCTTTTCCCTGAGATTTCCAGTGCAGTTCTGTAGTACTGAGATGCGTGGTTTGCACAGTTTCTGAAGAAGCACATTGTGCTGTGTAATTTTTTTTTTCTTTCTAGCGTCATGTGCAAGTTGGTTTCTTGGTTACTAAATACATGATTATTTTCGGGAGCTGAGCTTGCCAGGGAGGAGTCGCTGCAGTTCCTCCGGTACTAGTGTTTTCAGCCACCTTGCTGATGAGCGGCAGAAGATAACAGCTTTCAAAAAGGCATAATCATGCAATTTGTATGAAGAGTACATCTGGCATGGCTAATTCACCCATTACAGCACTTATTAAACAAGAGGAGAGGAACCCTCAAGTGGTTGGTACTTCATGGATTAATTTTTCATTTGTCTCCTCTCTGTTTTCAAAATCTTACCACACTTGAAGGCAGTGAGATTATTGGTCTCTTTTTTTTATTGTAATGGAGAAACCAATCACCCCATTCACTAAAGGGATCTCCCTTCAGGGTGAACACTATGGGATTTCATTTCCAGCCGTGGTAAGAGCTCTACTCAGACACGGGCTCTCTTAGTGACCCACAGAGTCCCACCACTGTGCAAGGAGCTGGAGATCCTGTGCATTTGCTGCCTTCTGTCCCATTCACCCAGCCTGATTCTGTGTCTTGGCACTGAATCTTTCATCTTTGCTTTTTTTTCTGATGCTTCAAAGAAAACCACATTTTTTTTCTGGAAATTACACACTTTCTCATGCTTCATTCTTGGAAAACAAAAACCTTTCAGCCTCAGCCAGTGTTATTCTTGTAACTACCTTTCTGCACACGACTGTAACTGCTCTGTTTTTTTCCTAGCAAAGTTCTGTTCCTATCCAGTAGTCTGTAGGCACAGAAAAGGAGATCTGGCAATACCTAAAGTAATTTTGTCGGTTATTCTAGTATGGTGTCACCTAGCTTGAGTCTGCAGCCAATGCCAAAAACATTCAGCTAGCACTGGAAATTAAGGATGATTTTAAAGTTTGTGTCTTACAAGTTTGACAGTTTGATATCAGTTGTGAAAGTGAGGTTTCTGAAAAGGAAACTTAACGATGTGCTTGTACTGTCATTGTATGACAAAGTTGTATTTATCTAGCTGTTCATCATTGCCTAATCCAAGCGCTGTACCCTAAGCACTACAAAACTGTTAGTGTACAGTTGCTTGTAGGTACTGTATTTGTGTGCATGAACAGGGTGTGTTACTCACCTCTGTCAGTAGAACACAAACACAAAAATTGCTTATATAAAAGCTGTGCCTGAACTGTAGAGAGGAAAAGAGGTAAAATAAATAGGTAAGTGAACCTTTAATCCACTATGCAAGGAAAAAGTGCAAATAAGACCATGTGGAGATCAGAGAACATAACAGACCATTTTAAGCACTGTATATAGACATACATTTGGGTAGATGGCCATTCACAGACCTGCTTTAGGAAAAGCAGATTTTTAATATTAAGGAAAGGTTTAATCTTTTTCTTCTTTCCAATGCACCTTGAGGTTGTTTCCTAAAGCACCTGCTCAGCTCAAATCTCCTTGCCTGTTTGACAAATGCTTTGCGAAGGGATCTGTAGGCTGCTTGAAAGTCTGAATGAAGAGTAAAGACAACCTTCAAAGGAGGACTTGCTTGTGTGGTCTTGACTTGCTTGCTTAATCTTTAAAAACTAACAAGGACAAAGATGCATAAGATTGCATGAATATCCCACCGAATTTCAATCCCATATGATCAAAGGAATAACAGGAATACAGAATTAATGCAGTAGCATGAGCGCACTTGATGTTATTACTGGCAATGATTGAACTTGAGAAGCTTGAGATCAAGTTCAAATGAGCATCTGGGGGTTTCAAAACTTCTAAAAAATTACACTTGAAAATAGGGAGAAAAAACCAGAAAGAAATACAATCTCAGCAGAAACTGCTAATGAGATCGCATGCAAAATATTTTCTCGCCATGATCTATTTCCAGATGGATTTGAAATACTTAGATTGTAATTTGTGTGGATAGGATTTTTTTTATACTTTCCATTCAGTAATATCAGCATAAGAATAAAGATTCCAACCTGCTTCACCAAGTTCAGAGATTCAGTTGTGGTTCACCCTGAAATTGGAGTTGCTCTCGCTGCTCTCAGAGCTACCTCATTCTCCCTCCCCTGCTCACTAGTAGAGTCAGAAAGCTAAGAAGTTCATCTTCGAGAAAAAAGTTGTTCCCCTTTGCTTGAATTAAGATTAATTTTCTTGGTGCACCTACTGTTTCCTCATTAAATTTACCTACAGACACTAATCTTTTAATATTCATTTTAAAACTATACTCCTACAGAAGCTTCATTTGTCAGCCACCTTTTCTACACCTGTATACCCTAGAATTCAGCCAGTTACAAATTGTGTTCATACAAAATGAAAGGGGGGGAAAACCAGTCAAGCTTCCAAAATATATTTCTTTTTTTCTTCATATTCATGATATAAAGAACTTTTACTGAGCCAGGAGGAGGTCTTCTCTGAGCAGATACATGTGCTACAAGATTGGTTATGAAAATGAAAAAAAACTGAACATGCATTTCCTCATTAATAGTAAAGGTACGTTCTGTTTCTTTTGGTGTTTTCTCCAGCTCTGCATGCAGTACTGGCCAGAGAAGACATCCTGTTGTTATGGCCCAATTCAAGTAGAGTTTGTTTCAGCAGACATTGATGAAGATATCATCAACCGGATATTCCGGATCTGCAACATGGCCAGGGTAAGATCAGTGAAATACCAGTTTCCTATTTATTCTCAAAAATGTATTTTGGCATGAGGAAGAGGCAAAACCAAGACTTGTGGTATAGGCATACTGAATCTCTCACCTAGGAACAAAATTCCACTGCAGAATTTAGCAGCTAATTCCTTTAATTAACATAATAGCATCGGTCTGTATTGGTAAAAGACTCTTGACTGAAATTAGAAAGTGGATGATATGAGCTAAAAATCTGTATTTAAATGGAATGCATTTTTCTATGTATATTTGAGAACAATTAATCACTTAGTAGCCAATATAAAACCATCAATACCATAGGAAATAAACTGGGATAGTGTCAGCAGCTCTCCATCTGTCAACTGCTATGTAGTGTCTCTGAAGACAGATGCAACGTTTCCTGGCTAGACTGGGATTCCCAATTGCCACTGTTTTTCTTATTTATAAGCAACTGCTATTTCTGTAAACAACTCTTTGTCTGTATCCCTCAGCCCCAGGACAGCTGAAATCACAGAAACAAAGTTTATCTGCACACTAGACACTGGCAATGCAACTTCAGGGCTGCAGGAAAGCATTTCAGTAGAGGACTTTGCTCTCATTAGTTGTTTCCCAGATTGATTATGTCTCCTCTTTTGTTCCTTTTTCATTTTTTCTAATCAGAAATGGAAACAGGCTCCACAAATTACATTTCCATGCTGTATAACACATCAGCCTCAGACCCTGTTCAGCAATTCCGTTGTGGCATTGCAGAGTGAACTTTGTGGTCCAACTATGTGAATGGATGAATCAGTTAGGTATTCACCTTTCTATATCCCAGGCCAGCTGCCTCTGAACCAGGACAGCCTGGAAGTCACACAGTTAATAAGAGTAAGGCTCTGTGATTCTCAGGATGAAGCTTGTAAATGCGTGGCTGGCAGGGTGGAGGCTGTGAACTCGCAGGTCTCTGCACCCATCTATGTTCAACACTGATGGCTTCTGCTAAAATCTTTATGAGGATCCTTTCCAGCCAGAGTCCCCAGAAGTTTTCTGAGGGCCTTCTTTGCCTTTGGTTCTTTTGGCACAACTAACCTCCATCATAGGCTACCAGGAAAGACGTACTTGATCTATTTGGGAAGTTTGATGAGAACTTATCCTCTACTGAAAACAAAACAAGGGATCCCAGGCACCTAGTTTCTGCCTGGATCTGTAATATCTGAGGTCATCATTGTTATCCAGATTACTGAAAAGGTGTTATTTCCCCACATGATCAGGTACCCAGAGTGGAGGATGTTAACATTGATGGTATCACATTCAAAGGGGAGGATGCCACGTAACTAGTGTTCCCTGCTTTACCCCACCTCTCTGCTTTCTGCCCCGTTACATTTAGCATCTTGAAAATGCTCTTTGTTTTAGCCCCAGGATGGGTATCGCATAGTTCAGCACCTGCAGTACATTGGCTGGCCAGCATACAGGGACACCCCTCCTTCCAAACGCTCCCTCCTGAAGGTGGTCAGAAGGTTGGAGAAGTGGCAGGAACAGTACGATGGGAGAGACGGACGCACTGTTGTCCACTGCCTGTAAGTAGGACTGGAAAATGTCTGTAACCTCACGAAATGCTGTCTGAAGAGCACTGATTATGGATTCATCTGGGAAAATGAAGTTAAATTACATTTGTAATACACTTCAGGTTGAATATTGTGCTACATTATAGCATCCTGGGCCAAAGATTTTACTGATTGCAGTGAGGAGTAGCTGAAAAAGCTCTGCTGCTTTCTGCTGTGTAGGTAGGTCTCACGACTGGAGCCCAGATACAACCAAAGCAGCATTGCCACGTTTCCAGCTCCAACCATGGATCTGCGGTGAGCCCCAGAGCAGTGAGGAGCAGCACTGCAGTCCCTGGGGCTTCCCTGTCCACCACTGCCAGGGATCGGCTTAGCCCTTCCAACCCTGTCTCCTGCCATGCAGGTCTCCACTTACACAAACCCTTGAATATCCTTAGCGAGTCCTTACTTTACAGACCTTTCCATATGTGGTGTGTGAGCTGTTGTGTAAGCAGTGCTTTCCTCCATTCCCTCAGCCTTGCCTAGCTTCATGTGTTGCCTCTTTTTTTCTGTGCCCAGGAATGGTGGGGGGCGCAGCGGCACCTTCTGTGCCATCTGCAGTGTGTGTGAAATGATTCAACAGCAAAATATCATTGATGTGTTCCACATAGTGAAAACATTACGGAATAACAAATCCAACATGGTGGAGTCACTGGTAAGCTTTTTTTCTTGCTCCTTACCCTATCCGGCATATGCAGGGGGAATTTTAGGATGGGTAGAAAAATTCCATAGCTTAGCTCATCCTGAATAAAAACAATTATACTATAAAGCCATCAGAATTAAAACCAGTGCCATTTTAGCACATGCAATGAATCCTCTGGTCCCACTGCTTCTCTCCTTGAGCAGCTGGGGAATGGCTGCCCTGGCAGCGTGGTGAGCAATGCCTCCCACACCTAGCTGCCTCCGGGAGGTTAAACCCGAAATAGCTGTCACCGTGGCCATGAGGAGGAAGTGGGATTTGTCCTCCTGTGCATGTGTGCAGCTTGGCGCTTAATGCTGTGACACACGTTGAAACCAGGAAGGGAGAACAGTCTGAACTCCCTGCAGCTGGAGAGATTAAACTGTCCTGAATTCAGTCACCTCAACTGATCACACCAAATCCTTTTCTCAAAAGCAATGTGCACAATGAGGGCATGAAGCAAATAATGAATAGTCCATACTGTGGCACTCTGTGAGTGTTTTTCTCTTTCATTGACAATACCATCTCTTGGTAATGCTTGTTCAGGATCCCATAGAAATACAATTAATTTTTGCCTGGTCCTGCCAAATGGTATAAGAAAGAGGGAGGAGGCATTTTTGGCAGCTTGTAGAATGAGGCTCTGAAGAATTTACCCATAGAATCATAGAATCATAGAATGTTTTGGGTTGGAAGGGACCCCTAGAGGTCATCTAGTCCAACCCCCCTGCAGTGAGCAGGGACATCGCTAACTAGATCAGGCTGCTCAGAGCCCCGTCCAACCTGTCCTTGAATGTTTCCAGGGATGGGGCCTCCACCACCTCTCTGGGCAACCTGTTCCAGTGTTTCACCACCCTCATTGTAAAAAACTTCTTCCTTATATCTAGTCTAAACCTACCCTGGTTTAGTTTAAAACCATTACCCCTTGTCTTGTCACTGCTGGCCCTACTAAAAAGATTGTCCCCATCTTTCCTATAGGCCCCCTTTAGGTACTGAAAGGCCGTAATCAGGTCTCCCCGCAGCCTTCTCTGCTCCAGGCTGAACAAGCCCAACTCCCTCAGCCTGTCCTCATAGGAGAGGTGCTCCAGCCC